GCTATTATTAACTATACCATTATTAGCGAAACTCCAGCTCAAAGATGAACAAATTAGGGATTTGTGGTCACTTTGACTTCATAATGTTGTATTCTATGAATACACACACTCAAATGTATAATTTGCAATTAATAGATCTTGTCGATCAGTAGAAAACTTTTTGCCCAGATTTGAGTGTGTGGTTGATCCTTTCTTTGAGTTGGAATTTTGTTTTTTTACAATATCTCTGATGCCACATTAGCGGTGTAGATACTAAATCATAATAACCACAGACTGTATCCGGCCATTATGATGTGCAGACAAACTAGACACAGTGTGAAAGCACCACCTCAGCACTTGGCTCTACATTATATACAGATAAAGACAGGCTCTTGAAGTGTTCCTGTGTTGTTGCTGTTTTGCAGGGTTCCTGTACGACTACACTCAGACTTACGACTGTTCATTCTATCTGGCCGGGCTCTGCTACCTGATCTCCTCCCTCTCCCTGTTCATGGAACCGCTGGCTCGGCGTTGGAAGGCCAAGCAGAAATTGGCTCAGGCCAAGAGGGCAGAAAGCAGCTGCAAGACCAATGGCTGTTTCACCCTCGAGCGCCTGCAGAACGGCGTTGTGTAAGAATGACACCCAGGGAGAGCTTTGCAGTGGCTCTGCAAACCTTGGACCATGGACAGCAGCTTAATGTTGGAACCTAAGTGACTCTTAATGTCTGCAAGAGAGTAACATAGGCTGGGGGGTGGGGCATATGACCACAGTAGCATGATTTTTAAGAGCGTACGGTAGTTGGGACGTTATTAGATTATTGTATTGAACTTTTAAAATGCCAAAATTTTTACAGTAAAACTGCAAAATATTATACCCCCTATCTTTATAGTATCAGAGATACATGCATCCCAACCGAGAACAACACCCTACAGACCAGAGCCAGCATGTTAGCAGCTAAGCAACCACGACTTACTGAAACATGCTCTGTTTTCGAATACAACAGCTTTGCAGTAACATCTCATTGCTGGAAACTAAGCTATGCAGTTGAGCTTGACTTCCGGTCTTCAATTAATTTTTCTGCGATGACATAAATGCAAGCACATATCCACAAGGGAAGGCATTTCACCTGATCTCCTTGAAAGCCTTTACCTGTGTCTGTACACCTTATCTCACTGATATGCACTTTGGGCCAAACTGTGATCATGCTGCATGACATTTCCTCTAACTTAGATAGTTGAGATACTGACCAACAACGTAATTGCAGCCTGCCTCTAAAGACACAATGTGTAATTTGCTCCATATAGATCAAAAACAAGAAAGAAATAGAATATCTTAACCCAAACAAATGTTTGTGGGCACAAGAATAGATTATATGGTCAATTCTGGCATTTAGAGGTATAGAAATGATTGGGCAAAATGTTCAACATGTGAGCATTCCTTTCGTCTTTACACATTTTACGCTCCTCATCAACTCTTTCATACTCATTTATACCTTCAGCTTTTCTTATACCTTTTACAGTTTTTCTGTAGGTTGAAGTTTCAGTCTTTTTTTTAGAGATTTTTAGAAACTATAACGGCTGGTGACACAGATCTGTGCTCCTAAGGGAAAGTGCTTTACAGTTTTTCTGAATTCCTAAAACACTAAACCCTGTTCTCTAAACAAAACTGTCAACTGGTAAAACAACTTTATTGAATCAATTACATAGTTGGCAGGAGTGTTCAGATATCCAACAATAAATCTTTTTCAGTAATTTTTCAGTAACAGTTTTTTTTTCGAGCTATGCTCAGAGTTCAGTGTTTAGCATTTTTTTAATGTAATGTTTGCTGAGTAGTGTTTATGCATTAGATGGCTTTCTGTGTTATTTGATGGCACTGTTTGGTTCTGGGTAAAGATAAAATAGTTTTGAATCAGTTGTTTGATTTTGCAAGACAAGTCAAACGTTTTGTGAATGGAGTTTGAATTTTTGTGTTTACTATTTTGATAATTGGAGAGGAAGTTTCAGGTCATTTGTTTTAGCGATTCAGAAAAAAACTGTAACTTAATGTTTTAACCCTTTCACCCCTTTAAAACCCCGTAATATAAACTGACTTTGATCTCTCACCCCTGAACTGAGAGCTCAGCTACTTTCGGAGTCTGTGCAGACATGTTGGACAAACCTATACTGAAACTGCTCACAGTGCACATGCTTCAACTGTCTCCCTCACGTTCACTTCAGGCGAAATTCCAACAGCTTCAAATTCAACACTGTAATGTCAAAGTTTGACATTATAGCTCTCGGTTGAAACATGCTCTGGTTGGTTTCATAGCTAAGACATGTAATTTTAACTGCTTACAAAAGAAGCTGACGTCTCAGTTGCTTAAACTCAGTAGAGCGCATAACTCCGCCAATATATGCCTGATATTTTTCTCATCGAGATCCGCAAATGATTCCATGGGAAATCTGTGAAAATGTCTTTGTGTAGTCTTCAAATCAAACAAAACAACATGACCTCCTTGGCAGAGGTAATTCAAACTCTGCTGCTGTCACCTGCGCTCCTTTCAGTTCTTTAACTTCAATCAACCCCTCAGCTCCTTACACCACATCTTAACACCTTTTTACCCTGTTTACAATCATTGCATCTGCAATTTTCCACACAGATGAGCTCACTTCATTCCCCACAGAAATGTTGATATTGAAACCTCAGTGGTGACCTTTTTAAATGCTGCAACTAGAAACTGCTACTTTTGTGGGTCAGTAATGATAATCAGCATTTAAATCTCCCTGCAGATATCTTGTATTTGGAAGTACCTGCTGATAAGAAAACACTCATGTCCTGCTCATCGTGAGAGAACAGTTCTATGCAAAAGCTCACAGAGCAGGATTTTGTTTTGTCCGCCCGCCTACACACACAATCATTTTAACTTTAGTTAAGATTCCAGCTCCTGAAAGAAGAACTCTGTTTGGTCGTGTTTAAATGTTTTTTAATGTGTCCTGAAGAAACGAACCACAGAGAGAGCTGACAGAGCTGTTGTCTGCTGAACAGCCGGAGCTTCTGTGTGATAAAGTGTCATTTTATCAGCTTTTTATGTCTGTAAATCTCTGACCCACTGTGTTACAAAGATGTTTTGCCAATGTCGCCCGTAAAAATGCAAGGGCCCCCACACTGACTGTTGCCCAGCCTTTACAGTGCCTGCAGGCAGCCAATTAATGGCAATGCAACTTATTATTTTATTTTGTTTATACATGGGAGTCTATTGGTTGTTGAATCTTTTTTTTATATATATAGTAGAGGTTTTTGTTTTGTCAGTGGATTCCTCGTTTTTCACCGGTTTGCCTTACAAGGTACTGTGTTGTATCTTAATTAACTTCCTGTGATGTCAGCCAAAGACACATTCGAAACCTATCTACAACTTGAAGCGCATTAAGAGTGATGAGTTTGGACAGCGTATATAATTTAGACCACTCTGACCATCCATTATTCAGTCATCTTCAAGTCTTGATTATGGACGGCCCAGAATCCAATGTGTTTTGTTATGCTGCCCTCTTATGGCAGAGGAATGCATCTACTTAAAGAATGCTGTGTCAATTAGTACCAAGTTATTCCCCCTCAACTCACTTTCACAATACTGAGCAAGGCTCTTTGTATTGTTTCAATAACGACAGTCATGCACACAAGCTCTTTAGCCTCACGGGTTGTATTCACCACCAGTATGCTTTCAGGATTTAGGGCCTCTGTATATTTTGTACCATAATAAATCTTTTATGAAATGTATTTGATGCTTTAAAGGTAGATCCAGTTTGGAATGACTTTACTTGTTAGTTATCTGGGTATGTTTAGGAACTGTACGTTCAAGCAATACATTTTATGGCTCTTTGGTAATGTCTCAAACCTCACTAGTAAGGTGAGTTCTGTTTAATGATGTTGGAGGTTCTCGTTGCAGCGAATGCGTTCATGGGTGAAGCACTGTTTTGTTCCAACTCTTTACTCTTGGATTTGAAAACTGAGTTTAGAAAATATGCTTAACCAATCATAGATGTCATTTTCCAAGCCATGTAACAGTGCGCACTCAGCTCCAATAAACTGACGCATTACTCAGTCTGTTTTTGTGTCATCAAGATGACTTAAAGTAATAGATGCACTGATACCAGACCAATTTATCTCAATGCAAAAAACACACAAGTTGCAATAGATTTAACATTTTTATTGACACATTATTACGACATACTACAGTGAATAAACAAGATTATTTGTGAATTAGGATTCATTTTCATCTTGGACCCAGCAAAGGCTTGTTACAATTATTTCTCAGAAAATATCAACTTTAGCATGTAACACACACTTTGTTATTTAATATCATTGATCAAAGCAGGGTTACTTACAGGAGATGAGACCTGATGGTGTGTTTATCAGTGGCCTGGAATTAAAGTGATGCGCCAGCAGCCATCCAGTGGAGTTCTGTATAGGCGACATACAAATACATTTTAATGTTGACAGAAGTAAACAGTCTGAAATGGTCACAAACAACGGTTTGATTGTTTTGAATTTATAAAAACCAGTAAAATATGTTTTTTATTGCAAAGAATGTATATTCTGATTGGCACTGTAACAATATCCCTCTGACTATTCATACTACAGTGAACTGCACTACAGTTAAAACAGATGATAAAAAATCTATGTGACTTCTTAATTATGAATTTTGTAGCTTAGTTTGTCACAAGCCTCACCCAAGGCCATCAGTTCCTTTAAATTCAGTCAAGCTACATCAAATTTCAAACACTCATAGATATCAGTTCCCTAAATGTGCCTGATCCATGAATTATTCCCTGGGAAGTGAAAATATCTCATAATATTAAAGAAAGTTAAAACAAATCCTAAGGGGTTGTACCCTGATGTATACTGCATCCTTACACCAAGTGTTGTGATAATCTGTTCATTTATTTTTGTGTAATCTTGCTTAAAAACAAATTTACAGACAGGAGAGAAGACCAAACCTCTGGTTATTACATCTCATGTTATAACATCTAGGTATATCATGAGATGTTCTGAACTGAGAAAGTTGTATAATGCCAATATCCAAAATCATGCTGTCTTACTAACACTGGCCCATAATTATAATGTGACATCTTTAGAAAGATGAATAGGTGAAAGTCATCATTTGAAAATGTAAAGACACTGAGTATTAATTATTTTTAGTAGTAGTAATTATTAATCTGTCAATATTTTGAATCTTAAAGTCTAAGCTGTGAAATAGATACATTTCTCAAATTTAAATTTAATTTGCCTTAATTTGTCTGTATTTATAACCTCGATAAGCATCGTAACACTGCTCCACTAGTGTTTGATGAGTCAGACCTCATTGAGTATAAATATATATATGTAGTTATATGTCTTTGAGTTCATTACTGTGGCAGTAAAGTACAGTTAACTGCTCATACACCCTGACAACACAGGGAGCAAAGTAAAAGTTATCTGTGACATGGTGGCTGCCAGTATTGATCAAATATTGATAATGTTCATTTTTACAGGTTAGGTTTTGAATGGTAGCTGGTGGTATTTGATGCTTTCTCCTGTAGTCTGTCTTTGTTCACATTAGCCATTTCATTAAGTGGAGGTTAAAATCTGTGGCCTGTAGACTCCTAATGCAAAACACTATTTCTTACCAGAAACCATTTTCATCTGTTATTATAACTCTTTAAAGGTCCAGTGTGTCAGATCTAGGAGAAAGTGATCTATTGGCAGAAAATGAATATAAAATTATCCCAGTGATGTTTTCACTTGTATGTTTCATCCAAATTGTATGAACTGTTGTTTTCATTACACTAGAATGGAACCTTTATATGTAAATACTTTATATTTACATCAGGAGCGGGTCCTCCCTATGGAGGCTGCCATGTTTTGTTTTGTTTTGTTTTTACAGTAGACTGGACAAACTAAACACCTTTTGAGTTTTAATGGAAACTGAAGTCTACCACAGGTTCTCTTACATGTTTAGGGTTAGAGTTAGGGCGGGTGAGGTGAGGGGTATTCAGCTACAACATGTAACTTCACCACTAGATGTCACTAAATTCTACACACTGAACCTTTAAATTTCTGCATCATTAGTAACTTAGTGTATGACCAGGAGTGGCTTGACGATGATGTTCCTCATGAACATGATGATTGGGAGTTTGAAAAGAAGTGACAATTGTGGATTCCTGCCCTTTTGCGAAAAGCAATCAAGATTTTACAACTGAATATAAAAACAAATTTCCTCACACCACATCACGATAACCTTGCCTCTAGTTTATGGCTATTTTTTGTCTCCATCAGTGACATAATAAATCTTCACCAAAGTTAAAGGTGAGGTCTACATTTACATGTCTGATCAGGCTGCAACCAAATGTGCAGAATTTTCTTACATGGATCTAATCGAGAAACTACAGCTATAGTTTTCTACTTAAAACCTCGACTTTATTTATCTTTAAAGCACTTCAACCTTTTCCAAACCAGCGATTTGATAATGAATAGAACAGAAATATCTGCAAGAGGATATTATCAAAGAGATGGTTGTTCTGTTACATCAATCCTACTTTCAGTAATCAAAACAGCACTATGCATGTTACTGTGGGCAGTAAATGATGCTATTATCTCTGGTCCGGGACATATGCCAGCTGCCATAAGAGTAAAATGACCTCAGTAATGACTTTGGATTGAAACCAGAGTGTGCCATTTTGCATTTGTCGTTGTAAAACATGTGGTGTTGACACATTGTACTTACCACTGCTGCCTATGCCACCGACACAGATGTGGCGGGCAGCACTTGTTCTCTTACTCACCATTGTGCCCTTCTACACTGCAGTCGTACAGTGATACCAGCTCTGTCCTGGGTGCCTGGTGTGCACAAGTGAGATGTATCAGGGAGATGACTGTGAGAGAGGGAAGCAGGTGCTCCATGGTCCTCAAGATGGCAATGTTTCTCTAGTGGAGTGAGGGGTCCTTCTCGGCACAGAACACCTCAATTGTTTTCATTCATGACTCAAAATGGATGGCAGGAACTTTCTTTCCTGTATAAAATGGCCTTAAACTTACAAAGGGGCAAAATAAAAAAAGGTCTCCTAGATGAATTAGGGGGAAGGGTGGAGTCCGCAGAGTGGGTTCCTTCCAGCGGTGTCGAAAAGGGTAAACAACCTGGCCTGTGCTTGTTTTGTTTCCAGGCTGCAGCAGACCTCAGATGACAAGAGTGCAGCTTCAGCGCAGCAAACACTTGTTCACTCATCTCCTCGGAGAGCGTTCAATCAGAGGAGAACACATGAAGATGGGGGCAAACAATATTCCTAGCTGAGGTTGGGCCATCCTCTTCCCTGAGCCAAACAATAAGTCGAATCAAATCATAACTGGGAAAAGAAAAACAGAACAGAAGACAAATCAGCCCAGCGGTTCAGCTCGGCCTCTGCGGTGACACAGCTTGAACTGGAGACGCTATGCACATTTCAGAGCAGTGTCACCCACAATCTCCCAAGTGGAGTGTGTGACGGCAGGTGATGAGATTTCTTCCTCAGCTCCTATTCAGTACACGGAACAATGCACATGAAACCTTAGGAGTAAAGAGCAGGGAGGACAACAGGATACTGGCACGTGCTGCTGTTTACTCCGGCCCTCTCCTCCCGAACTGCACCGGTGTCTTTATCTGCCACTGCTTCACACTGCAAACTGGACTCTGGCTGTAAACAAGGGATGCGGAGGCTCCTCCATCCTGATCAGGTGTTCACATGCCAACAGGAACAGTTGAGGGTATAATACGGGGTTGGGAGTAATTTATGTTGGGCACCTTAGCAGCTCAGAACAGGCATGTAAGCAAACTGCGATCCTCACACGAAACAGGGGTCTCTCGTCGGTGTTGCTAAACAAATTGCAAATTGTCTCCCTTCGCGTGTGCAGAAACAAAATTGCAAGTGACAACTCCTTCGAAACACAATAAGGCATGGTAGCGTGTTTCTTCAATTGACTTCCATCGAAGAAACATGTTTCCCTTCAAATGAACAATTTATTGATATTCGGTCACATTGAGTGCCCAACCGCACTTTTCAGGTATGTGAACAGCTTCGCGTGGGCTCTATGGATTTTCCTTTCCCATGACATCAAAGTGTACATTGCTCAATTTTTTTCCATTTTTAACAGAAGTCATCACAGGTGCAGATGGGCTACACAACTTAAAAGCTGCCTCATGAGCGAGGACTCACAAAACACAATGTGGCCTTCTCTGCAGAGGCTTTCAGCTCTGCACTCGTCTCCTCTGGAGTCCAGCGTTGCGGTGGGTGTGACGTTGACACATTACAACTTTCCCACACATGAATGTTTTCAATACATGTTAAACCAAAATCAGCAAATTATAATTCAGAGTGGATTACTATTGCAGGCTAAACATACAATGACAAAAATAAAATATGGTAAGTATTGCCTTTGGAACATGTTTGCAGTCATGAGTAAAATATATAAATTTAGACCTCTAAAATTTAAATTCCAATGTTAACCATTAAGTTACTGCAAAAACTTTAAAATGACACAAACCATCTTACTGAAAAAATGGCAGGTATTTGTTACTTGTTACCAACAATTTCATTATATTGATTATTATTATTCTTGGAGGGCCTACTGGTTTCAGAGCAATAAGTGAAACAGACTGTCAAATATCAACACAAACGTCTCTACGCTTTTTATCCATTACTACTGTAGTTCTTTTCATAGATAACATTACACAACCATTCCTAAGGTAGGGATGCACAAAATAAAATATTAAGTAGAAAATATGAGAAAAATGTTAGTATTTTCTTTACTATGCTATGTGTATTGTATTATGGGCTGTTCCCTGGGCAAAACTCACATCTGTTAGTATTCAGCATTCCACAGAATTGACATGATGATTTGGTTTTAACCGTGGACGGGACACACACCGAGTTCATTGTCTATCTTGCAATTTGGTGTTCCACTACTGAGGAACACAATAAAATACACTCAGATCCAAAACCATGAACCTTAATATTATTTTTCAAACACAGATAACAATATAGGTAACTGAAATGCATCTGGTGAGCTTCAGAATAAATTTTCTACTTTGAAAACACAGGGACCAAGTGAGCTTCATTTCAAGCCCATTAAAGTTAAAACAAAAAGCACTACACTTCTTCGGCACACCACTGTCCTTTGACCATATTTTTCAAGCTATCGTGCCTCCATCATGATGCACTGAAGAAGAGCTGTGCAACATGTTTTAACCATCAAAATGTTAACAGGACCGTTTCTTTGCAGCTTCAGTACAAAATAATTCATTAAACCTTCACAGAAAACCCTGATTTCAAAATTGCCATGCCCATCTTTGTATCCATCAATCAAAACATGAATATATTACTGCACTGTGATTCAAAGCTTTGAAATAATATCTTCCAATTACCCCTTTTGTAAGTACCTGTTTAGGAGGTAGACACAGCAAAACCTGTACGGACAACATTTTCTTTACATACTTGTATTTTTCCAGGAACTTTGCTAAGCTAGTCATTTGTAGCTCGTTTGGACTGGATTCAATGTGATTATAGTGAATGATGTCAGCATTTCTGGTTTTATTGTCATGGAGGTGTTATTGTGTCCACTCCTTCTATTTATCTAGAATTTTCTCGTGCTATATCTGGATAGCTGAGATTTTAAACTTGCATATGAAACACGTTTTCCATATAATCTAAGTCTTGTTGAATTACATTGAAATTTACTCCTCAAATGCTCCTCATGTTTTACAGTATTCTGACTGAATGGTTTATGACTTTGTGAGCAATTAATTCATACACCCTTTTAAAAATAATTTCAAAACCACACAACCTTTTAGTTTCTGTAGGGCACAGTTTGTCCTTTTTAGTGGATTACATGGCAACATACAACACTCAAGAACCATACTAGTGCACCCCATAATGCAGAACACACAGCATGCAATAGTTACTGACATACAGCAGATCTTTTTTCTTTTTTTTTTTTACATGACTTGAACTTAGTGTGTTCTGATTTTTAAGATGCTCCACGCACCACAATCATGACCAGATAGTCCTCTTCACTTTTAGCCAGAGCTTTAGCAGAGGAATCCAGGAACTGCTGAGAGAAATCACATGGAGGGAAAGCATGAAGAACCCCTGTGTTGTCTTTATCTCTGCTCCCTCCCACAGGCAGGCTGATGACTCCTGCTGCTTGTTTTTGGTTGAGGTAGGACACCAGGTTCCGAAGTGGCCGCTGGGTTGAGGCTGCGGGGTCAGACGAAGATGCATCTTCTGTAGTGCCGGGAACTGCCAGTAGAATGGCGTAGCCGTCGGGACCTGCCACCTTGATGCGTCGGGACACCTCATCGAGCTTGGGCTGGTCCAGGCGGAGACGCTGGGTGATCTTTAGCTCGCTCACCTGCCTCCCCGTTGTGCCCTCAGCAAGCAGGTCACTGGCTACATTGTGGTCACCCTCCAGCAGGTGCATGTTGGCTGGAAAGTTGCTGTTTTTCAGCAGCAGCATACCTTGCCAGGCCAAACTGAGTCTGGTGCCGTCCGACTTGGACAGCTGGCCTCCCTTAGGACCTCCCTCAGAACGTTCTCTCTTAGCCGGCCCTTTACCACCTTCACCTGCTTTACGCTTTCGCTCTCCAACTGCAGAAACACTGCTGCTTGAAGGTGCCTTGTCAGAGAGACTCTGATTTTTTAATCTCCGTTCAGTGCCACCTCTCTCCAGGCTGGTGTGGCGTTCTCGTACTGGGGAGGGTCTTTCGCCCCGCACAGGGCGCTCTGAGTCACTGAAGCGGCCTCCATCTCTGCTGCTACCTCCAGGACTGCCATCTGGAGAAGCACGCCTTCGCCTTACTGTCCTCTCAGTGCTGTCAGGGGAGTGGTCTATGTGACGGCCATCCTCCATTACACGCCGTTTGCGAACAGGTTCTCGTCCCTGCAGCTCTCGTTCCAAAGACCAAGGCTCCCGTGCCCGCCGCTCGCGTTCCAAGTGCTCCAGGGGCTCGAAGGGTGAGGCACGTACCCGTTCGCGAATAGCTGGGTTGGGCCACTCAGTTCCAGGAAAGAGTTCTCTCTCCCTAAAGTGAAGCGGCGGTGGAGTCCGTTCCCTGACCCTCAGTGGTTCAGGTGTGGCACGGTGGACAAATGACTCAGCCACCATGTCAAAAGGTGGTATAGGGAGAGGCTGCAGAAACTGCTGCTGGTAACGATGTTCAGTGTCAGCAAAGTCCACTCTCAGTCTTCTCTCAGGACCCCCCAATGGGAAGCCCCTCATGTGTGTGCATGCCGCCTGTGCAGCGTCCAAACTTTCATACTGAATGTAGGCCCAGGTGTCCCCCTTCCTGTAGTCAATGGTCCTTATAGTACCAAAACGATCAAACTCCCTTGCTAGAGCAGCTAGGGGAACCCAGGGTCCAAGCCCACCCACCCACAGGCGTGTGGTGGGAGTTGCTTTCCCATAGCCTATCTTTATGGGATTACGACCCACTATTTTCCCAGACATACTTAGCTTAGCACGGTGAGCCATGTCAAGGTTCTCAAATTTCAGAAATCCATACGTGCTGGTTTGTCCCCGTGTGGGTCTCTTAATGTCCACCTCTGTGATCACCCCGAACCTGTCAAAGGCTCTCCTCAGGTCGGCCTCTGTCACCGTTATATCCAGGTTGCCTAAAAACAACGTCCTGTTGGCTCTTTGGTCATCTTCCGGAGAGATAAAATCCTCCTCACGAAAAGCTGCTCGCTCCGCAATGAAAGCTGGACGTGCCCTGGCTTCAAACAGAGCAAACTCCCGGTCCCGCTCCAGCTCTCTGGGCAAAGGAGGCGGCGGGGGCGGGGGGAGCCGTCCTAAGGCCAGCTGCTGCAGCCGGTAGTCTCTGTACCCGAGCCCCGTGGGCGAGAGGGGTCTCTGCAAATGTCTGTGGCTCTGGGTTGCACCGTACAAGTCTCTCTCCACCGGGGAGCGGCTTCTCCTCCTGTTAATGTACACCGCCTCGATCTTCAGCGGCCGGTCGTACAGCACCAGCCGGCCCCTGGCGTGCTTCGCGGCCCGGGCGTCCTCCGGCTTCCTGAAATTCACGAACGCGATCCGCTCGTCGTTGCTGCGGCTGATCTTGACGCTCACGTCTCCGAATTTTTTAAACTCGTGAAAGAGTCCGTCCTCTATGTCTTCGTCGCTCAGCTGGGTGCCGAGGTCGCTTATTTTCAGCGTCTTGTACTCACTCTCGGTGCTGGGCGGCTGGACCCGCTGCTCCCCCCGCGACGTGGTCCTCGGCGAGGCTAAATCCAGCGTCAGGCTCAGGCTGTGGTTTTTACCGACGGAGCTGGCGGCAGCAGACTGACAACTGTGATTGTTCCCAGTCCGGCTGTGACTGTCGAAATCCCGGTCCCTCTTCTCGCCGAGTAGACTCCTTCTCGTGGAGCCGCCGTCGCCTTTGGTCGAGCTGTTTCCATTATTACTCCCACTGGAAACGGAGAGAGCCCCCATTTTCTTGCTGGTCGGGTGGCATCCTCCTCTGTCTCGAATATCGTCCAAGGCCCGGGAGCGCTTTTTAATCGGCGACCGCTCTTTGCCTTTCATTTCAGTCGTCACGGAGCCGTTCCCTGGGGTTTTTAGAGCTGTTTCTGCAAATTAGTGCAGAAAATGAAAGAAAAGAAAAGCGGATTTATTCACTGACCCTGCGGCAAAACAACAACAGCCGCCATTTTGTAAAGATTAGCGTCAAGGCCCGCCTCTTCCCCCTGATTGGTTAAAAAGTGGGTGGAAAACTTTTAAAGCGCCTGTCAATCATCCGGTAGGGATGGAACATTTAGATAACTGTTTGTTTGTTTGTGTTTAATTTTCATATTTATCACCGAGGTGACGAAGTATTATAATATATTATATAGAAGCTATTTGTGTTTTATATTAGCTTCCTGCTTTAGTCTTCTACTCATTTTATTCGTCTAGTGATAACAAGAAATAAAAACATGCTGATATTATAAGACGCTTCAACTATATGCCTGAGAGTTTGTTTAATATTATTCACATATCATTTAAAACTGTAAAAGATCAAATATTTGAATTACAGACATTTCCTAAAAAAATACTCAAAGAATGTAAAAAAAAAAATGGCCCAATAAAAGTACTGGAAAATTACCAGAAATATATCAGGGAATAACTAAACATATCTGGAAAAATCCCCTATAATTACTGAAAAAATACTGTACATTAACAGAAAATTACTGAAACATACAGTCAGTACAATCATATAATACATAGAACTACTTACTCAAGAAAAAGGGCCCTTTCTTTTGGACAAAAAAGTTCAGGGGTTAAAATCCCATTCATGTCCATGTGTGCATATATTTATTCTTGATCATGGCTGATGTAAGTTTTAATGCTGCAGGACTTTAGGTGTTGTTATGAGCACCATGGTGGACTCAGGGGCCTCAGTAACTACAGGGCCCATATGAATTTGAGAATTGGACTTGATATTGTTCTGAACATGGGCTGGATCTGTTGGATTTGGTAACCATAGCAAAACATTCAATTCTGTAGTCATTTTTGTCCTTGTGGACTCTAAAGTTGCTGCATCTCACTCCATTACTTCTGTCTCAATCTCCAAATCCTCCCCTCCTGTCTCCATGCCCTCCATTCCTCTTCTTGTCTGTGTCCTTACTGTGTCACTCTCCAAGCCTGGTTTGGTTAACCCTAATCTTAAACTAAGCAAAATTCACATCAAACAATGATGGGGAGGGACAGAGCAACATTTCTATCTCAGTAACACAAAGTGATCTTATACCACAAGGTGGCAGTGTTTGAACAGTAGTTTAGGTACAGTGGCCTATACAAAGATATAACAAACAGTCTTTAAATAGAAAGGCAATCTGTCTTAATCAAGCAATGAAGGTCAATTGGACTCAAATCAAGATGAGAAAACAGAATTACCTGATAATGACCACCTGATACACTGTTTGGCCTTCACTGGAGTAATTTCCCCATTTTCCGGTTCAGGGCCTTTTGAACCCAGCTTTCAATGGATCTAAATTCAACACAAATGAGCAGTTTCTATCAAATACCTCTTGCACATCTTGATATTTCTTCCTTTTTATTTTTTTTTTCCAACAGCATCAACACACATCTCAAATTACAAGTATACAACCAGACCATGTAATAGGGAAAACACAAAAGACAGAGAAATAAACAGAAAACCAAGTGCATTGCAGTGTATTAAAGGTAAAATAAGACATGATGTGGAGGTATGAGGTCATAGTTCTTGGATGGTGACTATTAACATATATTTTCAGTGGCTCCAAGGATTTCTTTCTCTAAAGACCTGTTGAGGGAGCATCAGAGTTTTTTTTTCCATCTTAATGTTGTGCATCACATCTCTGATCCATTGACTGGTCTCTGGAGGTGACACATCTTTCCATTTGAGCAAGATTGAACTCCAAGCTAATAACAAGGAGAATGCTATGACCTTCTGTAAGCAAGTGGAGTAGATGGAATCATTCTGAGCTGAGAGTATATAAAAAATACCAATAGTTGGAGAAGGTATAATATCGCTGCCTTAAATGGTATAAAAAAAGAGACCCAGAAAGACAAATCTTGATATTCCTTTAAAATATTTTATGAAGACTATAATGCAAATCATCACTTTTTATTTTCTGGATGATGGACTACTGAATGAAGCTGTCGTGGCAGACTGTCTTGAATTTGTGTTGGACACAGTGGGTTTCCACACTGTTTATGTTTGCAATGCTGATTGACCACATCAAATGCAAGGAACTGCTGGTTCACAATAATTGCAATATAAGTCAATAATAAATCTTGTTGAGTTCAAAGCTCAGAGCATTGTCCATGCAGGAGGCAACTTTATGGGTTTTAATGAGCAATAGATCATATTTTATTTAGTCCATTAATGAGGCTGAGAGTACAGTAACTTCCAGACTCTAGTGACAGTCTTCACCTTATGACCCTGACACATTAAATGATGCTTTGTTAGTGACTGCCCCCGGCATTGTACAGTCTCATGTCAACATTTTCATTTCATCCAATCAGCCACAGCATTGAAACAGGTAACTGGTTTTAATGCTGTGGCTGGATTTTTTTTTACTTTGTCTAGCCACAGAGGCATATAGGGATAATTGAAGTACTTTCTTTTTTAACAAATCACATCCAGCCATTGATGCTTGGGTCAGAAAACCAATGCCCAAACTACTTAAATACCAATGTAACTATAGTGTAAGATTAGGTCTTTTTAAGTTAAATAAAGTTTTCTCATGTGTGACATGACAAAGGGCAGAGAGCGTTGCTTCAAATCTTTTATGATTGGATTGGATTGCAGTTTAATTTGGTTAAATTTCAGTTACCTTTGGGTTATTTATATGCAGCTGCAGCAATAATAAAATCATTATTAGTGTATTATTCTTTTTTCTCCAGAGGGGCCTGTTTTAATGTTGTTGATGTATTATTGTTATTGTTATTTCTAACAAATCACACTCAGTCTTTTAGTCAGTACAGTTTTAAAAAGCTAATGCTGCACCTCTGCATTAACTGCAGCTATCATGAGTCCTCGCTGGTTTCTTCACGTGTCCCTTGGGCGGGAGCATAGAGGCAGGAGCTTGTGCGGTGTGTGCGTGGCTCCAGGCAGGAGGATAACAGAGGACATTTTGGCGAAAAAAAGTTAATGACGTCATTTCAAATTTGAATGTCGGTGCTTACGTGCACTTGGATGGCACCACAGGAGCAGTATGGAGAAATTGTATGTTTTCTTTCTGCAGAAGATGTCACCAGTTACCTCAATTGTTTAGGATTTGGCTGCAACGCTGTTTACCCCTGAAACCCCAAATGTGTTTTGTGGACTCATACTCTTCACCCGCCCCTCCATCAGCATAGTGGTGAGTAGATAATGAGTGAATTTCCATTTTTGGGTGAACTACCACTTGAAGTATTTTTCAGTTAAATAAACCACAGTGCAATTATTATATTGTGAGTTACTCTATTATAACCGACATTATTCACAAGTTAATGTATAAAATACCCTAGGATGCAGTTTCCTGTGTTTATGGATGGATCAATTTGATTAACCTTCTCCCTCTCTAAAAAATAAATATATAACACAGCACTGATCCACCATCTGCTATTTCTTTAGCTTTCCTAAAGATGGCCATCTCCTCAATCCCTTATCCCTACTGACAGGTCTTCTTATCTTCTCCACTTAATCTGGGATTTAATCAGGGGGACTATGTAATGGCAGTGAGGGCTGCTGTCTCCCAGGGTCTGGCTGGAATTCGAAGCTGTGGGTGTGGAAAGTGTTTCTGATGGGTTTGTGCATTCTTCTATTGGAACCACATGTCAGTGGCTCACACAAAATCCCGACACAGAGTACGGGAATGGCAGCTAATCCAGCCCAGCATGGCTGTCATGGTGAAGAAAGCACAGGGGAAGGAGAGCCAGTGTATTCCCCTGTAAGCCATGAACACTCCTGGGCAGTAAGTGGAGCTTGAGAGGGCTTTGTCCAACACTGGAACACTTTTTTTCCCTCTGAATTCAAGTTGGATTTTCAATCTCAAACTGATTGAAATGTTTGTACATCTGCCCTGAACATGTTGGTATTTAGTAATTTACCCCAGATGGGATGGTACCATGCAATTCAGAGTTTCGTGACAATAAAGTAAATTGTTTGGGGTAAAGCACGACAAGGAGATTTCCTGAAAACAATTATTAGCATGCATTCAGGAAAGACTATGCCACAGAAACACATTTATTTAATTTTCTTCTTGAGAAACAACTCATTAATACGTAAATATTTATAAATAAAAGAAGGAAGCGGATGACCTGACAAATAATATTACTGAACAAAATACCCTCTGAACCATGGTAACCCCAACTACTTCTATTGATGTGTAGCTTATTATTCAGTTGGTCGGGTTTTACCACAGATACCAGATGTGAATGAGACTTGCCTGCCCCAACTTGAAGCCAGCCGTCTGTGGGAGGCTCTCCACTTCATCATCGATACTGAAGTGTGGTCGCTCAGTTAGCTTTTCATTAATGAACCTGCCACTTGCTGCTGATACATGAGGTGAGACCTGAAGGCCTCTTGAAGTGAAGCCAAGTAGGTTGCACATACAGTCGTCCCTGTGCATGTCCTGAACAGAGTCTCACCACAGAGCAGAAAACCTGTTTACGGCAACCACAGCCTGTGAAGCATTTTTGCCTAACAACCACATTCCCTGTTAAAAAAATGTGACGCAGACCTTTGGTTAGTTCTCTTGGTTATTGTTTTCTCAAAGAGTCACGTCAAGGCCAAACAATTTTGACTATGATTGTTTTAAATAAAAATAAAAAACGTTTCTACTGAATAAGACAGTTGATTTAGATGTATAACTTTATTACTGGTCACACTATGAAGTACATGAAAACAAAGATTGATAGGATAATTACATTTTTTTTACATGCTTAAATAACTTTCCTCTTTGGTCTCAGCATTATCATTTCTAACTAAACCTGGGAACAAGTTCATATTAATACGTTGAGTTTCGTGCAGGAGGCTCAAGATGCTCTCAGTGTTCGTGAAATTCCTCTGTCAAGAGATTAAGAATGGTGAAATGTCTCCACGTTGGCTTACATAAATGTTACGGGGAAATATTTAAGTCATATGGTGAAGTGGGTGTGTACATCTGGGACTGTGCATGGGTTAGGAATGTAATAGGCTTTGGCTCAGTCAGTGCATAATGGGGGGGCTGGCACAGTTGTGGTCATGTAGGCCAGGAGAGGATGCTGCCCGGCTCTTTGGCTTTCATCCGCAGCGCCACCAGGCCCGTGGGCTTGTATTCGGTCTCAGGCCCCTCGATGGAGGGGGGCCCGAGGCCTCCTGGAAAGCCATGGAGTGAGTAGAGGCCATTGATGCCTGGATGGTGGGACGGGTGGTGATGGTGGTGGTGGTGGTGGGGGTGGTGGTGTGGGTGGCTGGGGGATGTGGGCATACCCATGAAGCCTTGCAGGTTGCTGTGGGGATGAGGGTATGGACTCATGCAGGACGAGGGGATGGAGTCAGCTCCTAGAACACAACCGGCACCGGAACCACCGCCTCCTCCTGAAGCTGGCCCGGGCCACAGGTTGCCTTGCATCTGGACGGGAAGAGATTGAGGACAAAACCGATTTGGAATTTGATTAAATAATTGTGTCAATGCTTCAGACTTTGCTATGACAACCAATCAAGGTATAATATCAGGAAAGGTCAGATTGAGTTTGCGGAATTTTGCACTGCGCTCATTCTTGTAGCAGGATCAGTAATGTGCTTCCACCATTACAACATGCATGTAATGTGGGCTCTACCTGGTATGTATCATGGCGAGGGAGAAGAGAGATATCATATGTAGCAGCAAAGTGGTTGCGGACCTCTTGAATCTTCCCATAACGTTCCCGTTTCCTCCACTTAGCCCGACGATTCTGGAACCAAACCTTTCAAATACAAAAAGATTATATAACAGAAAACAGAAAAATCTTCAAATGAAAACATGTCTCATTCAGGCCACAAACTCTATCCTGCTTGTAGGTATAAATTGAAAAGTTATAAAATTTGAAGTAGTTGCCTTATAGCAACATACCTGAACCCGAGCCTCTGTGAGCTCGGTCCTCAGTGCCAGCTGTTCACGGGCATACACGTCTGGGTAGTGTGTCTTCTGAAACACTTTCTCCAGCTCCTCCAGCTGAAAAGTGCTGAACGTGGTGCGATTGCGTCGCTTCTTGTTCTTGCCTGATAAGTCGATGGAGTCAGCGATGGAGTCCACCTGTAAACCGACCACCGGCTCCTTCAGCTTGCCGCAGCAGTCTGTGCCGATCCCAGGATAGCCCATGGTCTTTGGAATCCCTTTGTCTCTGACTGTGGCAGACACACAAAACAGGGTAAGTATGTTTCAAAATAATTATTAATTCATATGCAAGAATTTTTTCATTGTGACTTAATCAATTAATTGTTTTTAATGTTTTAGAGTGCTGTTGTGTTGTCTTTAAGGTTTTGATTTTACATATGATTTAGCATACAACTTTACATAATTTTACATCAACACAATCTGATCCTGTGTGAAATATTTTGTGCAATCTGTTTTAAAAAATCCTTTTTGTCATATATATTAATAAAGAGGCTTTACTGGTTGAAAAAAAGTTTCAATAAAATATATGTTCTTTCCTTTCATTTTAGGGTTTCAGAGACGAAACAGGACCCAGAGAAACACGACAGACAAATCATCAGCCTTTCACATGGTAACACTGAATAATATTCATACTTAAGCCAACTTAAATGCTTAAAAATCAGGAATGAGAATATTAGAGCATCCAGAAGATACCCTCACGAATATGATGACAGGGTCATACAACACTGTACAGAATTAGGCAGTGCTTGGAGTCAAACATCTGCAAACAACTTCCCCTTTCTCTGACTTTTTCTCATCCTAATTCTTAAATAACGCACTTTCTCCTAGATATGGTTCAGGCACGCAATGGTCACGACCCATAAATTGTAACTTCGCACATTGTTGCAAAATCAAATTAAACACATGGTCACATCGAAGATTTTATTCCTGAGGTATATATATCCTGAATCCATTTAATGTGTTGGCTGTTTTCTTTATGCTTCTTAATCTAATTCCCAAACAAAATCCTGCCAAAGAAGGCCGAGCTGTGAGACGCCTGAGAAAATCACCACACATCAAACATCAATCAGTACAGGCAGCCCTAATTCAGCCAAGCAGTGTTTTAATTGGATTAGCCCAGACAAGCCATACTTAGGCAGTGAACTCTCAGCGAGTTGGCTGGAATTAAACCCACAAGGCAATAAGTACAAAAACAAGGTTTGATTTCATTTCCATACAGTCATGTCAATTTATCTATGGGAAAGTTATTGCAATCTTCATGTCCAAACATTCACATTAAGAATAAGGCAGCTAGGATACAGCATCTACAAAATATGACAAATTTATATGATGAAGCACATTAGGGTTTGAATTCATCATATACGTTCTGACCTTCACATTCAGCAGTAAAAGGAAACGTGAAAGTCTTATTTTCCTTCCTGTGGACAGAGCATGGAAAGAGCTGCTCCCTCCTGTGTTTGAATGTTATTGTCCATGTTCATTAAGTTTAACTCTGAGCTCCCAAACAAAATCACTCTCCATCCATCTGCAGGCACTCACTCACCAGGGGCAGCCAAGACACCACTCTGCAACTCTCCTTATTCACTATGGGCCCCAAACTGAGAGCACTTTTCATTGCAACATTAATTTCCTCATGTCCATTAGATCCAACCTCACACCACAGTTCATGCTGGGAATATTCTTCATCAAAATTGCAAACTGGAGCCACAGGACATTGTGTAGCTTTTACCCTGTCAAGCAGCCACATCTGCTCTGCCTCCGTAGAGTCACGGTAGAAATTTAAGCTGCTTCTCTTCCAGGCCTCTTGCTCTCTACATTAACATTTTAAAATTGTGCAACACAGCACTTCCCCTTGTGCCTGTGGTTTACAAAAAGTCTTTGGAACATTCACTGATTTGAAATTCAAATAAATGAAATGAACTAGGATCATTAAAAATGAAGTAATCTTACTGTCGTTGAATGAGTTTTTAACCTTTTTCATGCTGCTGAGGTGACAAAACACTTTAAATAGTTTTATAGTGAGGCATATTTTATTTTATTCTAATTGAGAAATTAGTGAGTAGCATTAATCTATATCAGAAAAATGAACGCGGTAGGAAGACTGTTGTATTGGATACATTTTGGCAGTTATATATAGCGATGGCAATGTATATTTAAAGAGAAAGAGATAACATCACATATTAAAACACAGGAAGAAAACTAATGTAATAAATATAGTGTGAATTAAATTATACATTCAAATTGTCCAACCCGGTGATGTGAAATAGCACAACTGCGGCATTAGTCTTAATGGTTCC